CAGAAATACTTGGTGGCTCAGTGGTTAGCACTTTGTCCCTGCTGGGCCAGTCAGCGTTTCTGTGTGGAGTTTGCATGTTCTCCCCGTGTTGGCGTGGGTTTCCTACAGATGCTCTGGTTTCCCCCGCAGTCCAAACACATGCACTATAGGTGAATTGAATAAGCTAAATTGGGCATAGTGTATGAGTGTGTGTAAATGAGAGTGTATGGGTGTTTCCCACAACTGGGTAGCAGCTGGAAGGGCATCTAAGCCGAAGGAAAATGAATGAACAATTGAAGTCATCTTCTCAAAATCCACGAGTCATTTAGTTTGAATAGCAGGTGCCAGGAAAGAGAAGAATGCAGGAGTTGAAATACAGCAGCTATTGCATAACCCACACTTGCTCCTCCACCCCTTGGTTCCTGAATAGCTGGTTTTCTTCAGAGGCTCCAGAAACAATGGGTTCCAGGCAGGCAGGCAGGCAGCGATTTTTCCACAATCACATGAAAGAACAAGGAGTGAATTAAGGCCTTTGTATTTGTCCAGGGGGTTTGGGCTGAGACTAATCCAATACTGGATGGTGGTAATGTGGAGGTGGGCGTAAAGAGGAATGAATGCTATTTAACATCTGTGCAACTGTTTTGAGTGAAAGCACAGATTCTTTCAATCGTAGATCTTTAGCTGCATGAAAATATGCAATATTGTTGTATGTACAGTTGAAGTCAACATTTTTATTCTTTAAGAAAATATTTCCGAAGTGCTGTTTAATTGAAGAGAGGAATTTTTCCAACACATTTTTAAACACAATAGTTTCAATAATTAATTTCTAATAAATTATTTTGTGTTTTTCATGGCAAAAAATAAAATAAAATAAAATAAAATAAAATAAAATAAAATTAAATAAAATAATAATAATAATAATAACAATAATAATAATCCCTGATATTCCATGAGTTTGCATAATAAATGGAACTAAAAAAAATAAATAAATAAACAAACAAAAAATTAATTTAGTAAAGTTAAAATAAAAACATTTAAAATAAAATAAATAAAACCATTAGTTAGATAGTTAGTTAATTAGTTAATTAAAATAAATAAATGTATAAATAAAATAAATAAATAGTTACAGTTAAAATAAACATTAAAATAAATATATAAACAACAATAAAATAAATAAATGAATATAATTAGATAGTTAATTTGTTAATTAAAATAAATAAATAAATAGATACATAGTTAATTAGGCAATTAAAATAAATATATACACAAAAAATAATTAGATAGTTAAGTTATTTAAAATAATAAATAAATAAAGTTAGATAGTTAATTCAAATAAATAAATAAAAGTAAATGATTTTTAAAATAGTTAGTTGATTTGTTAATTTAAACAAACAAACAAACAAACAAACAAACAAACAAACAAACAAATAAATAAATAAATAAATAAATAAATAAATAAATAAATATTGCCTGACTTTTAATTTCTGGAAGACCTTTTAAAATTAACTGATATTCCAGAAATCCAGTGGGAATTTCCTGCCTATTTAAATTCGCTGCATGTTGCAATTGGATGACTTTACAAAAATAACACCACTTTCGAGCTCACCTCTGCATTTTACCAAAGGAAAATGCATACAGTTGCAGAAATGGAGGCCATCTCGTAGAAAAAAAAAAAAACAAGTCGGCTTTATACTCCAACATACACTGCTAATGAAGGCTCTCAGATGCCTGATGACCTTCTAATCACAGTAAATAAATAAATAGATAATAAATAAAAAATAGTTAACTAGTTAACTAAACTAAATTAAACATATATAAATTAAAAATAATAAATAAATAGTTAATTAGTTAATTAAAATAATTATTATTAAATAAAATAGATGATAAATAAAAAATAAAAAAATAAATAATTAATAAATAGTTAGTTAATTAAAATAATTAGACATGCATAAATAAACTAGTTAATAAAAAACAATAAATTAATTAGATTGTTAATTTGAATAAATAAACAATAAATAAATAAGACAATAAATAAATAGTTAATTGATTAAAATAAACAATTATAAAATCAATGCATTAATAAATAAATAAATAATAATTAGTTTAATTAAAATACATAAATAAATAAATTGTTAATCAGTTAATTAACATAAACAAATATAAATATTCATTAACAAATAAATAAAATAAAAATTAATTAGTTATATTGTTAGTTAAATAAAATGAATAAAATAACAAATAAATAAGTAAATTGTTAGTTAATCAGTTAATTAAAATAAATAAAAATAAATTCATTAAAAAATAAAAATTAAAAAATAAATAAATCCACTCCAATTTCTCAATTTTAAAGTCACTTTTTCCTCCGCTACAGTTAGTAAAAAAAGTACAATATTCTAGTTTTTGAATGTAATAAAGTACGAAAAAACAAAGCTTTCCTAAAATAATTATGCTCTGATAAAGCACACGTGCTTAAATTATGTTCTTTAGTGCAGTAGTAAAGTAAAAATACTTACTGTCCACCACTGCTAAAAGCATACATTATATTACCATGCATTATTTCCTTTGCAGTAAAAAAAAAAAACACATTATAGATGTTGAGAAGATTACAGACCATATTTCATCCTTTGAAAACCAGATGACCTGAATTTACGAATCTACTAATCAACTCTGGACATTTAAATATCGTTGAAGATTGAATCTTTAAGGGGAACTACATTATAAAGCATCTTATTCCTGACTATTATATAAAATATAAAATTACTGGAAACCTCCATCCAGATTAAATGGCTATAAAAAGCGTCTGATGTCATGATGGGTTGTTCTTTTTCAGTTATTTATTTATTTATGTGTTGCACATCTGCTGCTGGTGTCATTGAAGCCGGTTTATGGTGGTGCCTTAAACCATATGCATGAAATAAAGCAGGAGTTTATCCTCTTCATAAGACTGAGGTTGTGTAACTGCATCATAGCCCACGCTTGATGGCCAGAAAGCCACTGCGGTAGAAGGTCATCTGGTGTCCCGGCCTTCATTAGCAGCGATGTGTGGGAGTATAAACCATGTTTCAGATATTTTTTTTCCACCAGGCAGCCACTGTTTCTGCAGCTGTATGCATTTTACTTGCTTACCTGCTTGCTTGCTTGCTTACTAACTATTTATTTATTTATTTATTTATTTATTTATTTATTTAGCTATCAAACTATTTATTTATTAGTTTATCTATTTATTTAGCTATCTATCAAACTATTTATTTAGATATTTATTCATTTATTGTCTATATATTTGTTTTAATTAACTAACAATCTAACTAATTATTTAATTTTATTTATTTGAATTAATTCATGAAAGCTGATTTTATTGTTAGTTAACTGGAGTGACGTCAGTTCACAAGTTAACAATTCACTGATTCAAAATGATGCATTCAGAGTCAATCTCTGAGTAAACAATTCACTGATTCAAATTATTAGTTCAGAGTGAGCCATAAACAACTCACTGATTACACATGATCTCTTCAGAGGGCGTCTCCGGGTAAACAACTCACCGATTTAAAATCATCCACTCAGACTGAGTCTTCAGTTAACGACTCACTGATTCGAATGATCAATTCAAAGTGAGAATTTAGTAAACAACTCACTGATTCATAATGATCCATTCAGATTGATTCTTAGTAAACAACTCAGTGATTGAAAATGGTTCATTTAAAGTGAGTCTTTTGGTAAACAAGCCACTGATTCAACATGATCCATTCAGAGTAAGTCTCCAGCAAACAACTAACTGATTCTAATGATCCATTCAGAATGAGTCTCTAGTAAACGATTCACTGAATGGGGTTTACATGATTCCACTTGAATTATTATGAATTATCTGTGTGGTTATTGGTTTTGGTAATTCAACTTGCTTGCTTCAATAAAAATAAATAAATAAATAAATAAATAAATAAATAAATAAATAAATAAATAAATAAACAAACAAACAAACAAACAAATAAATAAATAAATAAATAAATAAATACATAAAAAGTCAATTTTTTTTTTCCTTCTGCATGAGCACAAATGTTCTTCCCAGCGTTGTTTTTGCAATTTTGCTAGTTCAGGTCATCGGTGTAGCTCTACTGTAATGAAACATGCGGGTTGAGTGTTATTCTTACCCCTGAGAGGTTGAGGTGTGGTCCGAGAGATCGGATGACTTCTTCAGTGAGGTCGGACTGCTCCGAGTCCCACACAAACCCAATGGTCACGATTTCTGGAGAGTTCATCAGCACACGCCGGATCTTGATTCTCTGACCACAGTTACTCTAATGAGGGGACAGACATAAATCTATTAAATGCTTTGTTTTAACACCAGTCCTTGAGCCTAGCTAATTTCATGGTTTGAAAAAAAAAAAAAACGCACATATTTTATATATATGTATATATGAGCAATTTCACACGAGTAGCAGTGT